TGACCAGAGCAGGTGTGGCCTTGAACTCAGAGCAGGTGTGACGTGCCTCAACACACTACCCCTCCCCCCCTCCATGGTGTACCACTTAACAGCACTTCAACAAGGCCTTTTCAGTACAGGCGCGCACTGTATAATTCCCCCCCAAGGGTCACAAACTGGGACTCCGGTGTAATTGTAATAACTCTCACAGTGAAGAGCAGACCCGTAGTTAGTGTCAAAAGACTGCAGGTCGTTATATGTGCATGATCGTCCAGTGACAATTAACCGTAATTGGCTAAAACTGTTAGTCGTCATAAACTGGGCCATCGCCTGACTGACGTAGGCCACCATTTATCATACATATACGTGTCCACTTACGAAAGCTTTACATCTTTCCTCTTATCATGGCGGCTTGGCTTGTATATATTGCAATGTTTACGAGCTGGGAAACCCGGCAATGTCGCCCGTGACCTCAGGATTATTATTTAAGAACATACCTATGGCCATATTATACCTGATCAACCAGGCTGTGACTCATACGTCAGGCTGCGAGCAGCCGCGTCCAACAGCCTGGTTGATCAGTCCGGCAACCAGGAGGCCTGGTCGACGACCGGGCCGCGGGGACGCTAAGCCTCGGAAGCACCTCAAGGAATGGCGCTTTCAAGTTCACTAACTGTTGAATAAATGCAATGAGAGTGGCCATGACTGTGGAAATATGGCCAGGTGTTGTAAGTGAAAGCGTAGACATAAAAGTATTTGTGTGTACGTCTGATACCATACTACTTGTGTAATGGAGGGAAATGTAGATGTTTATCTCTCACAATGTTTGGTGATACGTTTATTGTTTGTGATGTGTGTCTATGTATGTATCAACACGATGTACTGAACGGGGTAAGAATAGCTTGAGCTACCTCATCCCTTTGTGTGTATTTTACCTCAATAAACTTATTTCAATTTCAATTTCATGTTAGAAGCTTCCCTAAGTGCCAGCGGCTCGGCCCAACACACACACAACGGAAGCAGTAGAACATGCCACTATCCTGCCAGTTACTGCACTTGCAATAATGTGCCGGTCATCTAAAATCTATACCAAGAACCCATTGTACCTTTTCGTATCTGCAAGGTATGAAAAGCATAAGCTGCAGATTTACATTAGGCTATGCTGGGCTATCATTTGGTTAGGTTAAATCCCTATTTCTTATGAGGACTTAATTTTCCAAGTTGAGCAAATAGTAGAGTCACACGCTAAAACTTGTAAAGGGAGAAATATGACTGTCAACAGTGAAGAGTATTGGCCCCACTGTACGACCTACTTCACCGTCACTTGTGCGACAAAGGACAGTATCCCATAACAGTAGTAACCCGCCAAACACACACCGAAACTACGACGTTGGTACAACGTTAGAACAAGTTTTAACACCTAACCAATTATAACAACCCAAACAACCAATATAGCAAGTTGTAACAACGTTCTAATACGTCATAAACACGTTAAGCCAAGATGTAACAACTTTATTACAAGTTGTAACAAGCGGAAAATAGAAACAGTTTCGGTTTGTGTTTCCAGGGAATGCTCTCAGTTGGCTTTGGCGGGGTGTGTCATATTTAAACTTGTCCCTCTCGTCTCTTAATTCAAATGACATGCATGACATTAAGTCATTAATGTCACAAAGACATGGCTTGTTAAGAAGCAGTTTAATTCGTGTTTAAATCAGATCCCAGTTACATGAGGCGTTGGTAATGAGCGTGTACTAGGCTGTCCCCTGTGAGTGAGTGTACACCTCTCTCACATTTCCATATTCATGGAGCACTATTGTTTAGGCTATATGTTCCAGCTAACTCACACCTTATGTATACTTCAAAAACAAATTATATTTATTTCTTAATGAAAGATTTCTTAGTGAAGATATTCTTAGTTATTATTTTCAAGTTTCATGTAGTGATTTCCATTTCTTGAAAATATTTTACAACTTGAATTGTAAACAATGTTTTTATTGAGTTTGTTTTTAGTTAAAACAAAAAGTCTTTCGTCTATCTTTAGTCAGAGTTTGTTATTGAATTGAGGCAGGTATTTTCTCTCTTAGTTCCCTGTATGACTAACCATCCTGTGAGAAGGGAATATTTGATAAACTTAAAGCTAGTTTTTGATCTACACTGTGTAATCTTTCATATAGAATAGGATAGCAGCACATTGCTGTGTATACCTAAGTTTGTTAATAAAAAAAACTTTTTCCACCCTTTCAGCATTTCACCTTTGTAAACACACATTAATGATACTATGTAAAAAGATACTTTGAACACTGTTTATGTAGGACAGACGTAAATCTGTCTAAGTCTGTAGGTTACATTAGCATTTTAAAAACACTACAATCAACTTCTGTGGTTGATTGGTCAATAAATCACTGAACTATATGTTTAATAGATCTCTAACACTGTCCATGGAGGACAGAAGAAAATGTATATATGCTGATTAGCTTTGTAAATGTGTGGCCACGTCTGTGGTAGAAAATAATACAAAAAAAATAAAAAATAAAGTCTCGCTGTATTGTCATAATACTGCTGATTTTTCTGAACAAAATTACAATATTATTGTTGATTTCTCTTGTATAAATAACTTACTTGAGTTTTGTAAATGGTATTATTTTAATGTACAATTAATTATTAAATAATTTATTGATTGGCAATGCCTCAATAAGCCTATGAAATGTTCACAAAAGTGAACATTTATAGACCCCGATATTAAAAAATACCGGAGTTCAAAATCCGTCAACAAAAAATCCAAACTCCCAACTAATACTATTACTAACAATACCAACTTTTTTAATATAAAAAATACCTTCACAAAAAATTTTACTGACAGAAAAGGGAAGGTGGTGAAAGAGAAGGGAGCCCAGAGGTGTTTCCGGGGCTTAGCGTCCCCGCGGCCCGGTCGTCGACCAGGGGCCAGATTCACGAAGCAAGTTACGCAAGCACTTACGAACCTGTACATCTTTTCTCAATATTTGGCGGCTTTGTTTACAATTATTAAACAGTTAATGAGCTCCGAAGCACCAGGAGGCTGTTTATAACAATAACAACAGTTGATTGGCAAGTTTTCATGCTTGTAAACTGTTTAATAAATGTAACCAAAGCCTTCAAAGATTGAGGAAAGATGTACACGTTCGTAAGTGCTTTCGTGAATCTGGCCCCAGGCCTCCTGGTTGCTGGACCGGTCAACCAGGCTGTTGGACGCGGCTGCTCGCAGCCTGACGTACGAATCACAGCCTGGTTGCTCAGGTATCCTTTGGAGGTGCTGAGGAAGGACTAGAAAAAGCATATAATAGTCTTAACTACGACATAAGGGAGCGTGCGAAGGTGTTGTAGGGAGCAGGCGATAGCCAAGACAGTAATGACCAGTTTGGTTGTTAACGAGCTAAGGTTATACATGTGCTGATACCTTATTCTTCCCGTAGGCTTGGGTTTATATATTTTATGGGGGGGGGGCAGGGGAATGACTGTGTGGGGGAGGAATGAGAATGTGAGGGGGGGGGGAGGAGGAACGAGAGTACACACACGTGGAGAAATATATTAAGACTTTGAGAAGTTGGTGCTGGGAGAAATTGGAAAATGAAAGATGCGTAAAATGAATCCTTTGAAGAGGGCGAGTGTGGAGGACGTGTGTGTGGGGGGGGGAGGGAGGGTGCAGGGGGGTGGGAGGGAGCAGCCTAACACCACAGGCAGGAGGAGCCAGTTGGGCAGAGTTCACAGAGTTCCTCCACTGATATTAACACACGAGAAGCCAGAGTCAGAAACCGAGAGTGAGAGAGAGCACTTGGCATTTCACGTTCCATTTTACTGCTAATAAAGAATCCCTTCAAGAAAGGACTAATAGTCTTGTAAGGCGCCTGACAGCTGGGTGGATAGCTCTTTGCATTTGTAGTCCTGAGGTTCTGGGTTCGATCCCAAGGTGGAGGCGAAGACAAATGGGCAAAATGTTTCTTTCACCCCTGATGCCCCTGTTACCTAGCAGTAAATAGGTACCTGGGAGTTAGACGGCTGCTTCCTGGGGGTGGACAGCCACAAGTTGGCAGTGACAACACAAGGCGCTCAGCTCTGCCTTTCTCAACAACTTCACCCCATCAGTGTTCAGTTATTCCTAACCTAACTCTCACTTGAAACAAGTCTACTCAACATGTGTGTTGAGACCAACACAAAATCACCATCTTTGGTTTGCTACATTTTTGTATATAATGAGATCTAAGTTTGTTTGTATAATACAGGCGAATGAAGCGCATCTATAGTTAAAAACATTTACAAATTATCAGATTAAATTAATTAATTAAGACAAATACAACATATAACTATCCCCATGTGACACACTAATACAATATACTTACATGTGGTACTTATATGTATTACTTATTTATAGTCCTTGTACGTAGTGAACCCAAGTGGGAGGCGTTGTCATGGCCTATTGGACAGTCTTATCTTCAGACGAGAGTTCGAATCGCACCGAAACTAAATCAGCTGTTTCTATGAGCAGTTGAACCTTATGATGGACCAACGCGGCCACGTCCTGGTACACCGTCCAGTATGTGACCAAACTGGAACACTAGGGGTGCCTACAGTGGAACACTAGGGGTGCCTACAGTGGAACACTAGGGGTGCCTACAGTGGAACACTAGGGGTGCCTACAGTGGAACACTAGGGGTGCCTACAGTGGAACACTAGGGGTGCCTACAGTGGAACACTAGGGGTGCCTACAGTGGAACATTAGGGGTGCCTACAGTGGAACACTAGGGGTGCCTACAGTGGAACACTAGGGGTGCCTACAGTGGAACACTAGGGGTGCCTACAGTGGAACACTAGGGGTGCCTACAGTGGAACACTAGGGGTGCCTACAGTGGAACATTAGGGGTGCCTACAGTGGAACACTAGGGGTGCCTACATTGTAAAATTGTAAGATGAGTAAGGACGTACCTGGACAGGTGAGGCGTGAGTAAGGACGTACCTGGACTGGTGAGGGGTGAGTAAGGACGTACCTGGACTGGTGAGGAAGAAGAGGACGAGAGCAGGAGTGAGGAGGGCAGCCGTAAACACCACACCAAGTCTCCGCCGGAGCATCCTGCCCACGCTGGGGGGACAAGACACTGTATTAGTCTCCTACACCACAACTACCTGGTCCCTAAACGTCTCCTCCTTGTCACACAACAGTCACCCCTTTCCCCCCTTTCTAGGGCAGCCCTGGGGGGGGGGGGACCCCTCCCCCCTTTCTAGGGCAGCCCTGGGGAGTGGGGGGATGCCCGTAATCCTGCCCACTGCCCCCTTCTCCGCTATACATACATATATATAAATATATATATATATATATATATATATATATATATATATATATATATATATATATATATATATATACATACATACACACACGAGTTTAGTCAATTTGCTATGCATGCCATACCCATCCTGTGGGTGGTGGTGGCCCCATACCCATCCCGTGGGCGGTGGTGGACCCCATACCCATCCTATGGGCGGTGGTGGACCCCCATACCCATCCCGTGGGTGGTGGTGGTGGGTCCCATACCCATCCTGTGGGTAGTGGTGGACCCCATACCCATCCTGTGGGTGGTGGTGGGCCCCATACCCATCTTGTGGGCGGTGGTGGACCCCCATACCCATCCCGTGGGCGGTGGTGGACCCCCATACCCATCTTGTGGGCGGTGGTGGACCCCCATACCCATCCCGTGGGCGGTGGTGGACCCCCATACCCATCTTGTGGGCGGTGGTGGACCCCCATACCCATCCCGTGGGGGGTAGTGGACCCCATACCCATCCCGTGGGTGGTGGTGGCCCCATACCCATCCCGTGGGTGGTGGTGGACCCCATACCCATCCCGTGGGGGGTAGTGGACCCCATACCCATCCCGTGGGTGGTGGTGGACCCCATACCCATCCCGTGGGTGGTGGTGGACCCCATACCCATCCCGTGGGTGGTGGTGGACCCCATACCCATCCCGTGGGTGGTGGTGGCCCCATACCCATCCCGTGGGTGGTGGTGGCCCCCATACCCATCCCGTGGGCAGTGGTGGCCCCCATCCCAACTATGTGAGTACAACTAGGCAAGTCAACACACACACACACCTTAATAATATTTTTACAAGTGGTTCAAGAAGTGGCCGCAAGAGTCTCTATGCAAAAGCAATTGACATGTGGCATGGGAGCGGGGGCAGGAGGATGTATAACGATACAACAATACAGTAGGGCACTACAGTAGGGCACTACAGGGGCTGCTGATCAACTGCAAATTGACAGGTGATGACGTAGTGGGTACTCGACATGCCAACACAGGCAAGATGAACAGGGCTGTAAGTCAACCAAACATGTGTTAAGTGATTCAACCTGTCAAGCAATAATGATCACCTGTAATAATATATATGGCGCGAGGAGCGTGGATCAAAACTGGTTGCCAGATGCCATGTGCACAACACTTGGCCTTACGAATACTTCATGGCAACACTTGCCATGAACCTAAGGCACACTTTAATGGTGAGAGCACTAATAGTGAAGGTCGGGGAGCAGCAGTGGTATGGTGACTATCTATGTATCTCTCTCCCTCTCCATTCTCTCCCCTCTCTACCTGAGAGGGAAGTCTCTCTCGTCGTCCTCTCTCTCTCTCTCTCTCTCTCTCTCTCTCTCTCTCTCTCTCTCTCTCTCTCTCTCTCTCTCTCTCTCTCTCTCTCTCTCTCTCAAAATAAAGTCAGTGACACCTGGCAGGATATTGCCTGCCACCCCCCTCCCCTATCCTCCCCTCTCCTCCTGTCCCTTTCCCATCTCTCCTTTCCCACTTCTCTACTCTTCTTCCCCCCTCTACTCATTCATTCTGATCTCTTCTCAATATCCTACTCAGCCCCCCCCCCCCTCTTCTCTCACTATCCTTCCCACTTTATCCCTCCTGTCTCTCTCTCACCTTTCCTATTCTCCCGCACACTCACTCCTCTCCCTTCTCCCCCTCACACCCACCAAAAGAAAATCCGACTAACTTTATAACGACAACATTCACCATAGGTTTTACCATCGACTGACCCGTGACAGGTTCCAAGACATTTCCCACACTGGCCTAAGTATGGAGCTCCGTAACGACTTATTTGGTTGACACGCCAGCGCCGGGCCTTGCTGCAGGAACCTGCCCAATTGTTCCGTAAACAAGCCGGGTAGTTCACCTCGTTCGCGCCATGTCCCACTCCGTAAAATTGGGAACTGTTTTGCCTAGCCAGAAGCCTATACGACCCGCAGCCACGAACCTAACGTGACGCAGGCCCACGATTATCGTTGTTTTAGAGTCAGCTACTGGGAACAAAAGTTCCAAGTAGCACGGGCTATGGTGAGCCCGTAGTGGACTTACCTGGCACAGGAGCGGGGCAAGTAGCACGGGCTATGGTGAGCCCGTAGTGGACTTACCTGGCACAGGAGCGGGGCAAGTAGCACGGGCTATGGTGAGCCCGTAGTGGACTTACCTGGCACAGGAGCGGGGCAAGTAGCACGGGCTATGGTGAGCCCGTAGTGGACTTACCTGGCACAGGAGCGGGGCAAGTAACACGGGCTATGGTGAGCCCGTAGTGGACTTGCCTGGCACAGGAGCGGGGCAAGTAGCACGGGCTATGGTGAGCCCGTAGTGGACTTGCCTGGCACAGGAGCGGGGCTGTACTCACCTAATTGTGCTTGCGGGGGGTTGAGCTTTGGCTCTTTGGTCCCGTATATGTGCAGGCCCACGAGCTAAACCTCGTGTTACCAAAAAAAAATAGGACAGGATAAGAAATTCGTGATCCATGAGTCAATAGATAAGGTCCTGCAGACACACGTGAACACACAGCTTGTGCATGTTGGGGAGCCGGTCGGCCGAGCGGACAGCACGCTGGACTTGTGATCCTGTGGTCCCGGGGTCGATCCCAGGCGCCGGCGAGAAACAATGGGCAGAGTTTCTTTCACCCTATGCCCCTGTTACCTAGCAGTAAAATAGGTACCTGGGTGTTAGTCAGCTGTCACGGGCTGCTTCCTGGGAGTGGAGGCCTGGTCGAGGACCGGGCCGCGGGGACACTAAAAAGCTCCGAAATCATCTCAAGATAACCTCAAGATAAGATGTTGTTTGATACTGTGAAGACATTACAAAAGTTCAAATTACGAAAAATGGCAGCGTAGGAAAAAAAATATCTAAACTGTGCAGGAATACTTTGGTAAAATTTGGTAAATTGCTACAAAAGCCAGCAACATCCCCCGTTTTGTAAATACGGCCATTCATGACCCACATTCCGTTTTCTGTGAGCAAATCTCGTTCTCTCTCTCTCTCACCGCTAAGCTAATATCGAACCGCTGGGTAAATGGCTTTTATTTACTGGAATGTTGAATGTTTTTCCGGCTGAGCTGAAGGAGCAACAGGACGCCACAGCCCCGACAACAGCACCCAACAGAAGACATATCAACAGCTGTTGTAACAACAGCACAACGGGGGGAAACAGGGGCCAGATTCACGAAGCAGTTACGCCAGCACTTACGAACCTGTACATCTTTTCTCAATCTTTGGCGACTTTGTTTACAATTATTAAACAGTTAATGAGCTCCGAAGCACCAGGAGGCTCTTTATAACAATAACAACAGTTGAATAGCAAGTTTTCATGCTTGTAAACTGTTTAATAAACGTAAACAAAGCCGTCAAAGATTGAGGCAAAATGTACACGTTCGTAAGTATTTGCGTAAGTGCTTTCGTGAATCTAGCACCGTTGACTGTTCCCCCAGCAGTAACTGCAGACGGTCTGACTGTCAACCAACTGGCGGGCGTGTTCGTAACGGCTAAGGCTTAACAAGAGCTGTAAGCCTGTTAGCAATATATGAATTAATCCGCTAACGTCAGCTTCCGGGTAAACAGCCATCTTGCTGCGTTGGCAGACAAGTGTTTACAATCAACACGTTTAGCACCGGCAAAATTCTGTATTTACTACCGTCTCTCTCTCTCTCTCTCTCTCTCTCTCTCTCTCTCTCTCTCTCTCTCTCTCTCTCTCTACCACGTCCACTGCTGAGAAGTTTATTTCCCTCAACCTTTTCTCATACTCAAGGGCTAATTTCATGTGTTGGGAACTGCATTCTCTGGGACTGGTCTCACGTAGGTAGTGAGTGTGTATTGGCGGGCACCCCATGCGAGGTTTTCCGTCCGGCTCTCCTGCCTGACAGGAAGTCAGTTACTCGGGTTGACAGCTTGCCAAGCCTTGACAAGCTGTCTGTATTTATTTAAGATATAGGCTAGTGCTGACGTGTGTGTGAGATGCACGGGCTATGGTGGTTCATGGTGCCATGTATGGTGCCATGTATGGTGGTTCATGGTGCCATGTATGGTGGTTCATGGTGCCATGTATGGTGCCATGTATGGTGGTTCATGGTGCCATGTATGGTGCCATGTATGGTGGTTCATGGTGCCATGCATGGTGCCATGTATGGTGGTTCATGGTGCCATGTATGGTGGCTCATGGTGCCATGTATGGTGGTTCATGGTGCCATGTATGATTAGCTAGACCACCTGGGCTAGCCAGTCCATCATTAAAAGAGGACAACGTGTAAAAGATCTGGGAATTATGATGTCCGACGACCTGACATTTAGTGAACATAACCGAGCAAATATAGCGGCGGCGGCGGCAGCCAGGACAATGATAGGATGGCTAATGAGAACGTTCACATCCATCCTCTCCAGGTATATTCCAGGTAGATGGCTGGCTAGGGTGACGGGTGACACCGTGGCCTCGGGTGTCACCGTCTAGGGTGACAGGAGGGTGACGTCGGTCAACGGAAGTTTTACGAAGTTAAAAATATGAAACTATTAGAAACATTAAATATAAATTTATAGTTAAATATCTAGATCCCTCTACACCCCCCTCTCTCCCCAGTGTCTCTCGTCCCTCCCCATCTCCCCCCTCCCTCCCTCCCTAGGGCAACAGCTGCTAGACGAGGGGGGGGGGGAGAGATGAGGTAACAAGCCCACCATACTGCTCTTGCCCACTTGCTGTAGTTATCTGAGTTTAAGACTGGGGTAAGAGGCGGAGGAAATACAGGCAGGGGAACCCGCTATGCCCACCCCCAACAGGTAAAG